ATACCTTAATTGCAACAACCCAACTCTTTGTTTTCTCCGTTCGAACAGATATAGCCCAAATAAGAGGCTTGAGATTAGTCGATGACAAACGTAGCCATCTAAATACGCGATCAACATTCTTCATGTTCATGGAGAATTCATCGTGGCTCGTAGCTTTTATAACAGCAGCCTCGATGTCTGGATTCCGGAGAGCTGTACGTCTCGATAAGCTAGAAATCCATACGCTATTTTGATCTTTAAGCAATCCGGAAACCTTTCTCCATAGCCTCATTGCTAGTTTGATGTTCTTTGCTCTGTTTCCCCTGTTTTTTCCTTCTTTCTTCTCTTGATGTTCTTTTTCTTGTTTGAAGAGTTTTTTGTGGTGGAATTCTTTTTTGTATTTTTTATTATTCATTATTATTTTCTTTCGTTTTAATTTATTTATCGTTTGAATGACTCGAAATGTAACTTTTATTGACTTAAAGGTTTAAAACACAAATAATTGTTCTATGCAAAGTTGATTTCTCCTTTACTTCGCTAAAAGATACACGTAATTTACGCTTTTAACTGATGATCATATACTTATTTTAATATTTGACTCAACTGTTTTGACTAAAATGCGCGTCAAAAACGCTTATAAAGAGTGTGTATATGAAGATTTTGACTAAGAAAGACTAATTATAGAAGAAACAAATGGGAATTACAAAACCATAGATGTCAATTTATATATTATCCTTGACATAATTTTATTTCACAAGAAAAAACTCCATATCATTTTGATATGCAATGAACTTCTTTTTTTTTCCTTCCATTTTCGCAACTATTATAATAAAGAAAATTCATAACATATTGAATGATGGACACTATAATATAATTCGTGTATGCAGATCTTATCACTAAATTATGGAAAAAAACTTATTTTTTTCTTTGTATATAGTTTACAATCCTTTGACTAACTTATTTTGAATCCCAAGAAACTCTTAGCTTGTAATTTCTCTCTATGTGCTGTTCAATTTGCTTTTTCAAGTCACCTTTCTGTATCCAAGTTCTTTTTTAGGTACCTCTTTGACTTTCCATTTGTTCCTTCAAAAGTGATTGTATGAACAGTATAATATAAAATAATAGTAGTGAATCTATGAACAAAAATATGAATAGCATTGATGAGAATAGATTTGGGAAGTTCTAAGAAAAGGGTGTTCATTTTCTTGAAGAATCAGCATTCCAAATGAAAATGGGCTGTGATAAGGGAAAGGAAATAGTTGTATTTGAGGAGCAAAATGAGGAAAACAACATATGGGTAGATAGGGATTTTCTTAAGTTAAATGAGTGTAAAGGGAATTCATCTAAAAGGGTAGCTGAGAATGAGGAAATTTTGGTAGAAATTAGTGAAAAGAAGCTTAAAGGTGGAATCTTTGATCTTTCCTCTAAAGGGGTAGCTGAGAATGAGGAAATTTTGGTAGAAAATAGTGAAAAGAAGCTTAAAGGTGGAATCTTGGATCTTTCCTCTAAAGGGGTAGCTGAGAATGAGAAAATTTTGGTAGAAATTAGTGAAAAGAAGCTTAAAGGTGGAATCTTGGATCTTTCCTCTAAAGGGGTAGCTGAGAATGAGGAAATTTTGGCAGAAATTAGTGAAAAGAAGCTTAAAGGTGGAATCTTGGATCTTTCCTCTAAAGGGGTTGCTGAGAATGAGGAAATTTTGGTAGAAATTAGTGAAAACAAGCTTAAAGATGGAATCTTGGATCTCTCCTCTAAAAGGGTAGCTGAGAATGAGGAAATTTTGGTAGAAATTAGTGAAAAGAAGCTTAAAGATGGAATTTTGGATCTTTCTTCTAAAGGGGTAGCTGAAAATGTGGAGATTTTAGCAGAATTTATAGGTGAGAAGGCAAAAGATGGAATCTTGGATCTTTCCTCTAAAGGGGTTCTTGAAAATGAAGAAATTTTGGCAGAAATTACAGATAAGAAGGCAAGAGATGGAATATTGGATCTTTCTTTGGCTTTGTATAGTACTAGCAGGAGTTTACAATCACCAGAACCATCAAATAACAACACAAGGATTGGGTATTTCAGGAATGGATCCTTGTCGTCGTGCTATTCCCACCCATTCTCCCACAATCTTAGCTACTCACTTACACTGAGTTCAGAAGATGATAGTGAGTATACCGGGGAGGGAATTAGTTGGTCCGGATTTAGCCAGTTTAGGAAAGTTGAAGCAGGAGATTGTACATTGTCAGGTCATCCTGATGGAAGTAGATTAGCTCTAAGTTGTAAACTGGTCAATAAGGAAATATGTGATAATGATACTGATAGGATCAGTAGCTCGGATAGTAATTCGTTTTTCCAATTCGAGTTGCCTACTAGACCAGTAAATGATGATCAATCAGGTGATTCGAGAATCCTTGGAGGAATAGTTTCAGAGCCTGTTCCTCTTATGGCTCAGATTATGCAAGAGCTTCCTGATGAAACAGTCGAATCAACAAAGGAATACTTGAGAAGCCTAATTGTGATTCCTGAGAAGAAAGGTTTGTTGATCAGCCTTCAGAACAGGCTCAATGGGAGATCTGATCTTACCATTGAGACTCTTTCGAAGTGTAATAAGACTCAACTAGAAATTTTCGTTGCCATAAAGATGGGACTTGTGACCTTCTTATCTTCCGAAAACCACCTTCAAGCCACTGAATTGATTGAGATTTTCTCTCTTGAAAGATGTCGAAACATTTACTGCAAGAGAGTGTTACCTGTTGATAATTGTAAGTGCAAAATTTGTTCGAAAAACAAGGGATTCTGCAATGTATGTATGTGTCAAGTATGTTTGAACTTAGATTACGCCAATGGTACTTGCAGTTGGGTAGGCTGTGATCTATGTGTGCATTGGTGTCATGTTGTTTGTGCTATACACAGAAATCTTATAAAACCAGGTCCAAGTATCAACGGTCCATCTGGAACAACTGAGATGCAATTTCACTGTCTTGGTTGTAGTCATTCTAGTGAAATGTTTCGGTTTACTAAAGAAATGTATAGATGTTGTGCAAAGAACTGGGATCAAGAAATCCTAATTAAAGAGCTTGACTATGTTCAAAAGATTTTCCAGGGGAGTGATGATTTTAAAGGTAAAGAGTTGCATGCTATAACTTATGGACTGCGAAACAAGCTAGAGAAAAAGATGATCTCTCCTTCAGACGCCTGCAATTTCATCTTTCAGTTTTTTAAATGTGAGTTTCAAACCAAACCTTATACTTTCTAATTTCAAAACTGTTAGATTTGGTGTTATTTGTCCTTTAGTATGATTTTGAGTCTCGTTTGTCTACCATTTCAGCACCAAGGCATCTTGAAAGTGAATCGTATTATTCCATGTATATGATATCTATCTACTGTTGTATAGGCCCGAGTTGAACATACGTTCCCTACTTCATATGATCTTTGTGGTACATTGGAACTAATTTTGATTTTCCGTATTAACAGACACGGATGGCTTGTCACATTTTCTTTCATCAAGTTTTCCGGCGTCTATCCCTCTTGATGATAAATCTTCCTTCTACATCATGAACTCTTCAAGTAGAAGAAAAGCTGATCATCATCGTCAAAGTGATGCCAAGGATTCGTCAAAGTCTGACAAAACGATTGAGGACGAATGTTCAGCCATCAAAGAAGTATGAGCTCTCCAAGTGAAAGAAAAAAAGATGATAGTTTGCAAAGCATTATGAGGATCAAAGAAGCAGAAACACTGACTTTCTAGTTATTTTAACTTCACCATTTAAATGTATGAGCGTTGTGACGAGCAACGATTCTTAGACCATTTTAGCCACTCTTAGACTTCTAGCAGGGCAAGTAAAGGCTTGCAGGGAGATAGCATCAGTGGCAGACTTAAAGCTGTGGAATTCATCACTGAACAGACTGAATAAGTTGCCTTGAAGCTGATTTTCCTATTGCTAGTCTCTGTGTTATCATCTGTTCCCTAACTGTTTTGCTAGTGTTGTGTCTTTCTGTATGATCCATGTTGTTGCCACATTTAGTTTCTTTGATGTTATAACAAGTTTCAAAAGCTCGTTGTTTTAGTAGTAGGATAAGAAATAAGTTATCTATGTATTAATTTTCTGTATAATTTTGTATATTTACATGCATAGGAAATAAGTTATTCATGTATAAAATTTATAAGATGTTTGGTTGACAATGTATAAGAAACCAGCATAACTAATACATGTATAAGCTACGAAGGAATCAATGTATAATTTTATGCAGAATAGAAGATAGAATAATTAATAGTACATGAATAACTAATTTCAAATTACATAGCTAATACTTTTAGTTGTCTTATACTTTCTCAATTTCAATTTGTTTGTCTTAATTTTCTTTTTAGTCTGTTCAAAAAAATGTCTCTGTTCTTTTTTCTAACAACTCTTCAAGTTTAAATTTTCACGTGACATGTTAAAATACAAAATTAAAGAACATTTTAAAACATGCTACATATTTTAGTTTAAGCTACTAACATTCAAAAGTTTTTTAATTATTTAAGTTTGTAGAAAGTCAAAATTACACATAAGTTATTCTTTAGTTTAATTTTTAACTAGTAGTATTTCTTTATTCTGATATTTTTGTTTACTCTTTTTTAGAAATAGAAACTAAAAATTAGATCAATTAGATGTTGCCACCCAACAAGATTTCCACTTATTGTCCCAATTTACGTAACACATTTATTTTTTGAAAGTCAAACAATTTAAGTTTGATAAAATTTGCGTATGAAATTTTCAATTTTTATGAAATAAAATTTATATATTTGTAAACTACATAAGAAGTATTATAAGTCATAGTAATTGACAATCTAAAAAATAGATAGACTTGTTTGAATCTCAAAATTTGAAATGTGTCATATAAATCGAGACGGATGAGTAACTCATGTTTTCCATGCAAAATAAATACCATCTCAACAACCTAAAAACATTGAATATTATTTGGATGAATTGTCAAAATCTTTAACAACTATTGAGCATTAGTGGAGCAAAAGCTACTTGAGGTATCCATCCCATTCCCCACCTGCACTCAATGAATTCTCACTCATTTCACTTTTATTTTTTTAGACTCTCCACTAGAATTATAATGTTTTTATGTAGTATGGACTTATTTAAAGGAGATGCAAACAACTCTTATTGTCTTTGCTACGGAGGTCGTGGAAGACACGGATTAAGGTAGAAGTTTAGTAAGTAGCAGTGTGTTGTTTTGCTATTCATCCATACTTATTAGCTATAATATTGCTCGTGTAGTCGCCTCTCCTTTAATTTATGTATACCTCTGAGGTACAGGTAAAGTCTGCATACACTCTACCCTCCCTAGGCCCAAATCGTATGTCGTTGTTGCAAACAGCTCCCATTGAAAAGGACACCTTGCATTAATGTTCATTTTAAAGACTCATTTTTTTCATTGGCATGATTCACTAATAATTTGTGGCAAGTGAAGTTTAAAAACATATAGTTGAGCTAAAAGAAGTCTTATAGTGTGGTAATAGGAAGGCTAAGAAAACAAAAAAAGATGACAAACAGAAGAAGAAATGTGCAACATTTTGTTCATGTAATTCTTGTTATTCTTCATTGTTTCAATGAAGGATTTTGCATAGAAGTAGATAGTATTAACAGCACTCAATCTCTGAGTGATCCCGGGATTTTATCGTCTCCGGGAGGGGTCTTCAAGTTGGGATTTTTCAGTCCACTAAACAGTAGTAATACGTATGTTGGTATTTGGTATAATTTTTCTGTTACAACTGTTATTTGGGTGGCTAATAGGGACAAACCTTTAAGAGATTCTTCTGGGGTTGTGAAGATATCTCGTGATGGAAATGTCGTTATGACGAATGGAGAGGAGGAGGTATTTAGGTCATCAAATGTTTCAACTTCTCAGGTAAACTCAATTGGCCTTCTGCAAGATTCTGGAAACTTTGTTCTCGTTGATCATCGGGACAATATGAGCACGATATGGCAGAGTTTTGAACATCCTTCTGATACAATTGTCCCTAGAATGAGAATAAGTGAAAACGCAAGGACAAGGGAGAGGGTAGAAGCAAAATCTTGGAGAAGCTCTCGCGATCCTGATATTGGAGACTTCTCTTTAGGAATAAGTAGTTCTGGATTCATTCCTCAGCTGTATATATGGAAAAGACAGACGTCCCTATTGGCGAAGTGGTCAATGGAATGGTCAGTTCTTTATCGGAGTGCAGGAACTGTATGCTATGGCGTTTGATGGATTTAGTCTAGCGAATGAACACCAAGGTTTCGTGTATTTTACTGGTCCTGTTTCTTCTGAATTCATAACCAAATTTGTCATCGATTGGAAAAGGAACATGGTTTGGGATGAAAATGAGACAAACTGGAAGATAACATGGTTAGTTCCCAAAAACGATTGTGAAGTTTATGGAGCATGTGGTCCATTTGGAAGCTGCAATTATTTTGAGTCGCCGATATGTTCTTGTCTGAAAGGTTTCAATCCAAAGCATAAGGAAGAATGGGAAAAGGGGAATTGGACTAGTGGTTGTGTTAGGAGGAGGCCTTTGCTATGTGAAGTAAAGAATAACACAAGGGATTCAAGTAAAGAAGACGGATTTCGAAAGATGAAGTTAACGAAATTGCCTGATTTTGCAGAAAGGTCATATACTATAGAAGAAGAATGTAGAAGCAAATGCTTAAGCAATTGTTCCTGCATAGCATATGCATTTGACACAGGTATCGGCTGTATGTTGTGGAGTAGCAACTTGATTGATATTCAGCAACTCCAAATCTGGGGCAAAGATCTCTATTTTCGCGTGGCATATTCAGAACTCGGTATGTATACTGGCTATCTACTTTTTTTCAGCTAGTATAGCTTATTCTGTCATTTTAGATATCATGGACTCAATAGGATTCCATGTATGTACTTTAAGTTGCTTACTTCTGCGAAGAACTGGTATTTGTTCACCTTTTGTGTTTGCTCTACAATGCAGATCATTATAAAGACATAAAGAAAATTGTAATCGCAGTGATCCTTGGTACGCTTACACTCTGTGTTTGTCTGTTGATCTACTGTACAAGGGTGGCCATACGTAGAGGTAAAACAGGCTATAAATTTTTTGCACTTCGTTGGCTAATGGCTATAGTTAACTTGTATTCCTGATGATATTAGGAGTGAAGAAAAAAGAGGTAGTTTTACTTGGTAACAAAAGTCCACTTCATATGGAAGAATTACAAGTCTTCAGCCTCGATATGCTTGCAAATGCAATATCCCAATTCCATGAGGATAATAAGCTTGGTCAGGGCGGTTTTGGTCCAGTTTACAAGGTATGATACTTATCTCTCTTCTCAAATTTCAAGTCACTGAAATTGGTGCTTTGACCTAGTGAGGAGGTGTGAGAAGTTGGCAACAGTGGGTTTTAGGTAGACGTAGGCCAAAGAAGCATTAGGGAGAGGTTTTTAGACAGGAGATGCAAAGCTCCAGCATTCCGAGGACATGACCTTAGATTAGCAGGTCATGGTGGTTGCAGATTAGGTGTGAGAAGTTGGCAACAGTGGGTTTTAGGTAGACGTAGGCCGAAGAAGCATTAGGGAGAGGTTTTTAGACAGGAGATGCAAAGCTCCAGCATTCCGAGGACATGACCTTAGATTAGCAGGTCATGGTGGTTGCAGATTAGGGCAGAAGCTTCGTAGGTAGTTGAGAGTTATAAGATGATGCATCGTACCTTCTCGTTATTACTCTTCTTTTGAATGCTATGTTATGTTTTTTCTATTATTTTCTACCTCGAGGTACAAATAAGGTTTGAGTACACTCTACCCTCCCCCTCTAGGACTACATTGGGTTTGTCGTTGTTGTTGAAAATTGGTGATTCTTTCTAGGGAAAATTGGAAGATGGGAAAGAAATAGCAGTCAAAAGGCTTTCAAAAGCCTCTGGACAGGGGCTGGAGGAGTTCATGAATGAAGTGTTGGTGATCTCTAAAGTCCAACACAGAAATCTTGTTAGACTCTATGGATGTTGTGTCGATAAAGAGGAGAAGATGTTGATTTATGAACACATGCCAACGAAACGTTATTATAGAACATAACCTAAAAACCGGTTCCAAGGAAAACTTCACCACTATAGTGAAGTGTTGTTATAGAGAGGTTTGACCGTAAGTACGTACCTTTATTTATTACATTATGATGGTATAGTTACTTTTGCTGTCATTTTGTGCATCAATAATTTTGATGATGATCAATTTTTCACTGTTTATTCAGGCATGGATGTTATGGAAAGAAGAAGATTTATCAGCTTTTATCGAGCCGTTCATATTGAATCCGAGCACGGAAATGGAGGTGAGAAAATGCATACAGATTGGTTTGCTGTGTGTTCAAGAATTTGCTGAAGACAGGCCAAATATTTCATCTGTTCTTGTGATGCTTACTAGTGAAACTACAAGTCTTCCTTCACCATTACAACCTGCTTTTACTGAAAGTAGAGAAACTAAGTGTACTTTGAACAATATCAGTATCACAAACCTGACTGGTAGATAACATGAGCATATGAAATTGCCTTTTGGTGAAAAGATTGTTGTCCATCACATTTGCATCTTCTTCTTTTAACCCCTCGTCAATATTTTTTTAAAAACGTAACTGAATTAACTTGCATGCACCTTGACTAATTCTACAAGATACCTCCCACCAGGTACCCGAGTCCGTCCACCATGGCTTGAACCAATGGGGAAAAACACACATAATGCTAAGCGCTAACAACATGCTAATATGCACAACTTCAATTTCTTGCAAGAAGTTGAGCCTCCTAACTTGAGTTTCATATTTGGTAAATTTTGTGACTATCAATATGACCTTCACATAAGTCACACAGCCTGAGAAAAGACAACGAAATAGTCGTCACCGTCGCGGCGTCACATTTACGCACTTCAGACTATCAAAATGCAAAACCAAGAACATCTACAATAAGAATGTTGACACAAAAACAGCAACTTTAGACCATGCCTAGAGTAAGTGACTGGAGAAGTTCAGACTTCAGCCACACCCCAAATTAAGAAAC